TTTTTATCCAACGAAACAGAGACAGAAAATGTAAACTTACCTCAGAAGTACCTGTTTGATGGCCGAGCGCAGGAAAAATCCTACTTTTGAAACATGTCTCACTTAGCGTAGAACACGAGTTATCGGAGGGAAGTATTTCAAAATGTCTTCTCCACCCTTACAAAAAAAGGGACGCAAGAAAAGATTTCAAGTCACGCACACGTAGAATCACTGAGGCGATGATTTTGATATAAAAAAAATGAAGACTTTCGACCAAATATGCCACGTATATCAACGGGGACGTACTTTAAATACGTGTTTCCCATTTCGCAAAAAAATTTTGAACTAATTCAAGGTAATATAGAACGCGCGACCATAGTAATATTTCCGGCTCGTGAGGGTGTGTCGCCCTGGAATTCTGTTTTTTTTTTTTCCATATTTCTGGGCCAGCCGTGTGCAGGAGAGTTTCCTTAATGCCTTAATAATGCCTGGATTCAGGCGGTGAGCCGTTCGGGGAGAATTTTTGGGGGAATCTTTCGCTGTCTGGGAATTTCGCTGGTAGAAACTGGGACCACGGGATGAAAAACTTCTCCGAAAGCTCGGCAAATTCAGCTGTTATGTTTTGGATTCAATCGCAGTGGAACGGAAGGAAGCAGGGAATAACGCTGTTTCAAGCTGCAAATTTGTTTCCTGACGTATTTTCCAAGATGTCCGTCAACGTGGATCGTGTGCATTGCTCCGTCCTGGACTCATTCGGGTCGAGGTCTTCCCCGTGTTGCCGCTTTTGGCCGGTTGAGGGAATTCCCCGGAGGTTGAGGGAATTCCCCGGAGGTTGAGGGAAGTCACCATGAAAGTGAAGAAATCACCGGGGAAAAATCGCATTGAAAAAATCGTCCCAACCGTTTTTGCACATTTGCTTGGAGAGAAAACGCAAAACTCTCGATCTGCAACCCCCAAGTTGCCGTGTTGCTGGCAACCTGCAACCCACCCAGCGACCAGCGAGACCCACAATCTCTCTCTCGGATTCCCGGGATCCCGGACTCCTGAAACGCACAACAGGAAATTACACAGCTGACACCCAGCTGCAGAGCATCCACTCAGAACGGAATTAATCTCATCTCGTCCGAGAAAGAAAAATCCCTATCCGAGTTGGTTATCGAGTGCATCGAGTGCATCTCGGGACATCGCGTCTGGATCCCTGTCAATCAAACTCCACCGATGACGTCAGCCGGACTCCGGGAATCCCAGCCGATCGGACCTAGCTGAGAATTGGAGGCTGCAAGCGGGATGTCGAGCGCTTGGAACGACGATGAGTTGTGAGTCTCTCGTCCTCTCTTGTCCTTCCTGACCCCGCGCCGATCTAAGCCAGACCTCCAATAAGTCGGCTGGTCCCTGAAGTGGAAATTCCCTGGCAGTTGATTGGCGGAGAGACGCCCGCTAGGCTCCCTCCCTTGCTGATTGGCGGAGAGACGCCCGCTAGGCTCCCTCCCTTGCTGATTGGCGGAGAGACGCCCGCTAGGCTCCCTCCCTTGCTGATTGGCGGAGAGACGCCCGCTAGATTCGCTCCCTTCCCTGGAAGAGAGGATTCCTTGGCTGCAATAGGCTGATATTGCGGAGCTGCTCTCTCTGCTTTCGTCCAGATGGCAGAGGATTCGTCTTCCCTCTAGGCAATTGACCGAATTGTTCTCTGAAGAACTTTTAGCGCTGGTTGAAGTGTGAGAGTTTGGGCGGGGGATACTTGACTCCGATAATTCTTCGCATCAGCAGAAATTTTTTTATGGGTCTAGGGTATGGCCTTTACAGAACGTATTTTGCAAACGCCACGAGTGCTAAAACTTTTCCAGCTCGCGATCTGCATGCTCTCCGACCGCGAAATTAAAAAAAAAAGCAGTAGTGCAGAGACAAACTGCATCATTTTAAATTTACATGATCATCGAAGACAATGCCAATGGAGAAATGAAGCCGGGATTCCGATCGCTGCCACTCCGAATGTTTCGCAGGTACCACTCAAGCACTCTCGATTTCAAGATGGAGATCTACTGATGAACGTCGAAGCAAGCCCAATGGCTATATTTCGGGTGTGACGAATACGTGAAAGGACACCTTTATTTGCTCGAGATTCGACGATAGATAGTCGATTCCAGGAAGTTTCCGTTTTCCTCGCTTGCTTTCCTCAAACAGGGAAAGTGGATGAACTCTCTTCTCCTCAAGTATTGTTCCTAATGCAACAGATTCTTTCTAATCACCTAAATGCATTTCGTCAAGCCATCACCACCCTGAAGAAGCTGGCTGTGAATGCCACACGGCACACTTTCACAGAATTCGGCCAAGCTGGAAAGATCCGAGGAAAACTCTCTGCAACTCTCTGGAAAGTTCTCTGCGAAAATTATTTCCCAGAATGTCCCAAGAGGACGGAAGATTCGTTAACTGTTTCGAATTGGCTGATGCTGAAGAAATTTGAAACGCTTTTGACCCGTATAATTCCGAATTCTTTTCTCATCCTGAACGCGAAATTTCAGCATCCTGTGGTTCGTCTTTGAGTGGAGCCACCCCTCACCAGACCGGGTGAAAGAAAAGAAAAATATCCGGAAAATTCCCCCCAGACGAGATGAAATGGTTTTTTACGCTAAATGGCTCTTTTCCTTCGTAGGAGTCAGTGGAGGCATCGTGTGATTCGCTTTAGTCTTTTCCTTAACCGTCTGGTTATATAACAGGCAACCATGGGTTTTCCAAGTCAAATATGGAAATAAGCGAAGTCCGATAGTCGTATCTCACGCCAGCGACCGCGAACCGCCGCCGCGATTAATCTTCGTGGCAGCCATCGTCATAGGAATGAATCACCGTCAAAAATTGGGGTTGGAGGGGGGGGGGGGGCTAAATTCACACGAGAAAGTAACGTATTGGTGCATCCTGTAAAAAGTGCAACAACTTTTCCCGAGTCAAATTCAAACGTCTGATTGCTTCCAGGTCACAGGAAAGAAAAGGGTGAAAAGCTCGCTATTATTTATTTTTTATCCATCATGATTTGCATAGAGCATGGTCCAGTATCAGTACAGAACGGTAATGTAACCGAATCGTACATGTGTTCCGAATCAAGATAGGGCAGAAACGGCGAATCGATCGCTTTCGCGATAGGGGCCCAGCCGCTTTTTTTTTAACTTTCCTCTTGGCTCCCGTCCAGGTCCGAGCCGACTTTGAAATTCGGTGTCACATCTGAATCGCATGCCGCATTATCTGACCCGGAAAGTCGATGCATGCTTTTCCCTGAAGCCCTGGCACCGCGACGCACTTAATTTTCCCCGCCGCACCTTACTTCCCACAAAGACCAAAAATAATGGAATAATGGTTCAGAGGAGAATAATGGAATGGTTCCATTATGTCTGAACGCCAGGACGCAAATGCCTCCTGGGAGAGCGGTTCCACCCAGGCAGGTACCTCCATCCCCAGTCGGAGATACGAATCTGTGGGGGGAGGGGGGGGGAAAGGTAGGCCTACCTCTTCCTTGCACTCACCCTCGGTGCGACTCCTACTTTCCCCGGCTGTCTCGAGTGAGTCGTCTCAAGAATTCGTTGACGGCTGGACCCGCTCTGAGAGATCTGTGATCCCTCTTGACTCGCGCCGGTCTTTGCTCCAAATCTGCAGTGGGGCGTCACTTAGGCTAGGTTTTTACGTGTTCATGCTCTCATTATCGCCAATACTTTCTCTTTAGCCTGGTCATATGTTCCTGCAGTGATTTTCGCTTGATTCGGGCACTCATGCATGAACACCCTTGCACAAAGTGAAAGCTTGCCGGACTCAAGCGAAGAACATTGTAATCCAGTCCAAATGAACTAAATTAAGGCTTGCTTTCAGAACTGGAGAAGGGGTCCGGTGAGTCGGTTGACTGTTGAGACTCCTCGAAGGAACATGGAAAGCGGAGTCTCAAATCGCCCTACACGCACTGCGAATTACGGATGATATATTTGACCGTGAACTCATGCAAGAAAATCGGCCTAGCTCAGGTTGAAATAACGCGAACAACGTCTCGCCCCAGGCTGAGGTTTGAGCATCACTGACACTGGATGAGCAGCGGAAGGCCAAATCGGTACTGCGGCACTTCAGCAGGTCTGGGGAAACAACCAGTGGATATGCCGAATCAAGTCAAAACGATGTTGCGATTTTGGTGATTATGAAAGCCAGAAAGTGTCGAACACAGGTAAAATAAAGACCTCAAATGTTTCATAGTTTTTAAATTAGCTTTCAACGATGCACAGAGAAGCGTTGAGAAATTGAATCTCCGCCTTCGAGCATCTGCGGCCATCGACAACACTGCAATAATTATGTCCGCCTCCATCTGATTGGGCCGAGTTGGCATGGGATACCGTTAGACGAAGCTGCGTGAGAACTTGCCGAGTGACAACGAATCATAATCCTACCGTTAGGCTACAGGGAGTGGGTGCAGTCGCTCAAAGGCCGGCTCGAGAAGCTTGACCGTCGAATGGCAGGGTTTAGAAGGGTAGGCGTAGGCCTATGATGTGGTGTGACTTGTTTACTCACCTCCGAATGGGGATTTCCTCGAGTGTGAGTGATGGATCGAGTAAGGCTCGCATGCACTTGCAGGAGAACCGGTTTCGTTAGATGTCAAAGTGAAAGGTGACATATTCTAGTCGTCACCTGCTGCAGTTACGGATGAGTTCATGGAATGAAGTCTTTCTTGTAACTGGTTTTACCCTCTATGGGAAAATACGTCATAGTCGCGTGCATGTGACTAACATACATTAAGCGTAGGTTATCACAGAAGGGTTGTGTAGAATTATACGTTACATTTACTATTTCCTTGGTGGAATTGTCAAGTGCATTGAAATTTGCAGGCTAAGCCTGTGTGACTTTAAGCAGTGTTGTATGTGCACTTACAATGAGGAGTGGGTTCTTCAGAAGTGCAGTGGAAAATGCAGTGAATGTACCCATAGGCGGTGATTTGTTGAGAAATTTGAGGGGGCTCAGAGGCATCTCTCCAAATATTCCTTATTCTTCTGCCAAGTTTTTTGGGGAGCTTAAGCCTCCTGAGACCCTATGAATGTATTACTCATGTTAGCATGCATAGGCCTAGAGTAGTGGCAGTTACCATTCCTTCCTGAGGTTGTGAAATTGTGGGCCACCCTTCTGATCCCTAATAAGATTAGAAGCAGATATGTCGAGTGATCCAATAAGCCAAGGCGTTAGCAAGAATCCCATGTCAGTTTATGTTGCAAGGAGTCATGTTTTGGTACCATTTGTCAAAAAAATAGTGAAAATAAAGTTTCATATAAGCATTATCAGGAAACTCTTTGACTTGTTTTCCAGGTTCTTTGAACTGTATTGCACTGATAATCTTTGCCCACTGGGGTGAAGTCACTTGCTGTGATCTGATGGCTCCCACCATGTCAGCAAGGGAGTCTACAGAAACAAGTCAATCTCATCCTTACAATGGTGGTGGAGAGGGGGAGAATCTCGCCCGACGGCGGAGACATCCCATCCTCATCATCACGTTTCTTGTCTTATCTGTGATCTTCTTCATCATGATGGAGTCCTTTGGAGCCATTGAACTTGCCAGCATCCTCCTCATCATTTTTTTCTTTCCTGTTACTTACTTTGCCTTCTTGTTCATATACAAGAAAATCTGCTCCAGGCTCAGACCTGAGTCTCAAGTGGTTGTCATTCCAGTGAGTATCTGCTTTGTGTTTCCTCATTCTATTGTTGACCTTTTCACATCTAGAGCATCCTGCTTGCATATTATACAATATAATATCATGGTGTCAAGCCTGCTTGGAGAGCGAGAAGAGATACGGTGCTCCATATATGTGCAGGAAGGATCCTCATACAGGACCCCACCTTAACTAACCAGTAGAAGCCAATAGTAGATGAAGAGTTCCAATATCATCCCTCGCTAGAGTCATTTTTTGATTCATGGTGGAGAGCCAATGCATCATAGAATTTTGAAGAAGACATTCCCTCCAAAGAGGATATCATTGAATTTTGTTAGAGCACTCGTCCTTCCTTGAGGGTGGGGTGCAGACTAGGAAAGATACATACTTTCTCAGTCATGGCTACCTAGTTATACAAGACCATGAAAATAAAGGGCATACTCTGCATGAATAAGACATGGCTGCTTGTTGGGGGGGACAGGTGATTAGCATTGGATAAGTGAGGAGGCCAGTGCCTGTTGACAATTGTTATGATATGGGCTCAACTCATTGTATGGTACTTTACTAATGCTGCATATATTTATTGAGTTAAAAAATTAGAATGGTATTTCTTACCTGGAGCCCTTTATGGCCTAATTTATGGTCAGCCAAAGTTCACACTAAATTGATTTGCTCCCCTGAAAGGTATATTCTCCTATTGCTTAAGATAAGAAATGAAGGAAGCAGGTCCTTTAGGTTCATAACTATGAATGACAGTTCATTGTAATGTAGCCCATGGTAGGAGCCTAAGTATAATACTGGATTCAAATTATGCGATAGATTGATGCCTACTTCTGTCTGTTGCATCTATTCAGAGCACTCCTAATTCTACTGGCCTCATCTTGATGTTCTTAGTCCAGTTTAAAAATGGTCCTTATAATGCCAGCTTAACGGTAAAATGGTGGAATGTAAATGTTGCAATAGCACCAATGCTATCTGGAAGGCCATACCAAAATAATTATACAGATTATAAATAAGAGTGAAGCATTGAAAACATAAATTAGAATAACATTATTTTTATTCTTTTTTGTCCATTTCCTTTTGTTGTATCTTTCTTAATGCTTAAAGATGATGGATGTTTCCTGGATTCTTCATCTACATACTTATGCTTTTTAAATGCATGCTATGGTGGGGCTGCATATAAATTAATTTCATTTTTGTGGTTCCCAAATTATTTTATTTAAAGACATGTGCTGATGATGCTTTGGTATTACTTGTCTAGATTGATCCTCAAGCAGTGACATTCATCGACGATGGTCGTGGAATTGGAGGAGCACGCTTTGTTGTTTCGGGGATCCCCACTCCTTCAATTCCTGGCCCTCAGGCTGACTCAGATCCTCCTCCAGTCTACCTGCAGCAGCACAGTGAACCACCAGCTTATACAGAGGAAGAACCACCTCCGCCTTACCCGCCCCCTTCATATGATGAAGCCATAAGGCTCCCACCACCTAGTCCCACGCAAGATGAATCCTCCACTCAGAAGAGGTGATCATTCTCTCTTTTGAGAGGTGTATTCATGTATATATATTTATTTTTGGAACTTACTGTCATCATCTAATACTTTTTGACAATGGAGATGAACAGTCATTCTGAACCTCAAAATATTTTTCATATGACTTCATATTGTTTCAAGCAAATGAATGAAAATATGAATGGTTTATAAGCCTTTCTAAATACACTTAAGGAAAGATTTGTTCTGGGCTGTCAACTCTCTGCTTTGTTCTTGTAGATACGTAGTATTCCACAGGGGGCCATGTTCCTTGAAAACCTGCTTAATATTTTCCTCTATACAAAATGGATGGGAGCTAATATTCTTGTGTCTAAAAAGGTTCAACTGGGCTATTTCTTCCATGTTTGGTGGTGACTGAGGCACCATGCAGTACTTGTTATCAGGTTCACTCATTAGATGTTCTCTTCAGACTATACAACATTTATGTCATTGTAACTCTGCTTAAGTTTGAGGAAGCCACTGAAACATGTGACCAAAGGGACTATTCCCAACTGTGACAGATTATTGCACATATATGTTGCATGTGTCATGCAGCATTCTTAGTTATTATTCAATGAAAAGAAAGAGGTTTTATGATGTTGATCAGGAATAGCAAAAATGAGACATTTGTGCAAATTCAAACATTTTAAGGTCAGTGGGAACCAAGTCAGAGACAAAATGATAAAAACATGCATTTTCCAATGTTAAAAGGATATGCACAATTTCCCTGTGTACCCTTTGCAGTTTTAAGTTTTGGCCAGGTTTTTGCGGAGTGTGGCCATCAATTTTAGGGTCTGGAGTTCCATATCTGTAAATTCATGAGTCTCCCTTTTTATATTATAGATCTGATTTTTCTATAATGCTCTAGTTCATCCTGTGATGCAGTTTTTGGAAGCGCAATTGATCGCCTTTTTATGTGCAAGAACTTCCATAGCTGTCATTGGTTTAGCACTGAAAGTATTTGATGGATGTAGCCTGTGTGCCTATTTCATGAGTGAATTATCTTTATGGTGTATTTCACTATCTGCATTGGTGTATTATAAGTATAGTCAGGTACATGGCAGTCTTGCAAAAGGGCATTCTTTAATGCCTATTACAGTCCAGTGGGAGGTTTTTGAGAGGGCATCTTTCTTTTACTAGATTTTTTTTTTTTTTCCTTTTGCTTGCTGTATGTGTAATTTTTTATTTAAGAAAGCAATGGTGCTTTTTAACTGGTATGGGCCTTGGTGCTCTGGTGTAAAATGGCACTCAGACCATTATGTAGGAAGTATGCACTGGCTTGCAATCCCAAAGTCCAAGAATTTTGCATTGCTGGTTAGGATCAAGCTTTAAAAAGAAGTGACAGCCTTGACCCAATGGAGCATTCACTGCCACAAGGCACCAAATCAGGAGGGTTGTACCAACCTACCCTCACCATCTCGGCCCAAGATCTTACTTCCTCTATGAATCTCTATGAGCTCCTGAGGACTGCAAGAGTACTGAATAACTGCACACATACACACCAATGCAAAGAATGGAATGCATGTTTAAAGAACTGGATCTAGGAAAACATTTAGTTTGAGGATGATGAGGTCTCTAATATTTTGTTCCCATGTTAATATTTCATTTGGATTCTTGTTTCTGATGCTCATGATCACCATGAAGGGAACACTGTGGGTTCCCACTTGTTTGAAGCAAGTATTGATTCAGTATTATGTGTGTATCTGGAGAAAATATTTCAATTTTTTTCTGCTGTAGGATGTTCCAAAAAAAGAAACGAAGGCTGTCAATGCTTCATGTATCACTGAGAAGGAGGAGGCTCACAGATTTTCTTTGCTGGGAAGATATTTGACAAGGGGAAAGAAAGGTCCGTAGTCAATAAGATTTATTAAATAAACAGGAGAGTTGAAATATTCATTCTTTAGTAGACTAAAGAGAGGTCCTGCTCCCAAATAAGCACATCAGTTTGGTGAAGCATCAGTTCATTGAATAGAGCATAGTGCAGCTTATTTATGTATCAAATGGGGCTTTGACCATATCTGGTGAAAATGCTACATGATGTACATATTGTAAATTCACTTTTCTATGTTTGAATATATTCTGTAATCTTCTGGTGCCTAACCATCATTGTTGTGGTGGTGTGGTAATTGAAAGTAGCAATATGAAGTACTGTCTGTGTGCTAAATTTTTCTTCGTTAAGGATTGGTGCAAAAGATCCAAAATTGCAGAGTATCTCTTGCCACCAAAAATAAGCTCACAGATTGGATCTTCTTCATGAGATGATGGCTCACATTCTTGAATATCAATTTTCTTCCTCCCCTTGAGGAATGCAGAAAAGGGGATGTCAGATAAAAAATTTTTCATTTAAGTTTTTTGAGGAGTTAGGTCAATATCATTTTAGGTAAATATGCTTCCTTATTTAAATAATGCAGATCATAACAAATAACAGGCTGGTTGTTCTCTGTAATGTGGAAGCCCACTTCACATTGAATTTTAACATGCACCTCTAAGTTTTGGAGATAGATGTCTTTATAATATAAAATAGTTCAAATGTAAGTCTCCTCTAAGCCTATTGGTGAAGAGCCCATGCTATTTGTGCATCGAACAATCTTTTTTCTCACTACTTTCAAGTGATGTATGGACCATTGGCAAACCTCGTTTGCTATTCAACCGAGTCTCAGTCATCCTGTGATGTGGTGCAAGGAGTCATGAAAATCTCCCTTTTTTTTTTTAGAGTCCTATTAAAGAAATAACAAATGCCATTTGATGCTGAATGCTTGAGTCTGTGGATCATGTTCTCAGTGTGTATTGTTATCTTGAAAGCCCATCTTGCCAAAAAAAATTATGATAAGGACCCCTGTTAAGTGTTCCTAACCTCTTCCATTGCAGCTATTGTTTCTTGTGACGCTTCATGTTTTCTATTTTGTTGAACCTGTCTTCCATTGAACCTTCTCATTGTGAATTTGAATTAGTTCCTCAGCCAGTGAGACTGGGAGGAGTTTTTGTATCACGTGCTCCTTGTTCTAGTTAAGCTTATATGACTCCTTCAAGAGTGTCTGCATGCACATTTAACTTGTTCTAAATTTTCACTATCCAAGGCAAAGGACATTCCAATTGACAATTTTTATTTATCCCATTGATGGCACTTGTCTGCAACAACTGCAGCTTGGAATAGATTCCTCTGCAACCTTTGTATTTTATTGTTATGAAGCATATTTGACTTTCATTCTCTTTTGTTGCACCAAAACATTGATTATCTGTGTTTAGGGATGCCCCTAGACCAAGGGCTCCTTAGTGTTTGAGGTTGTTGCATGGACAGCATCATCACCTGTTATCAATCACTTTTCCCTAGTCCTTGCCTCCCCATCTCCCCTTGCCTTGCCTTGCCTCCCAACTTTGCTTCCAGAGGTCTGCCAGATTTAGTGATTTATCATCAGCTTGATTTTTTTTCTTTTAAAGAAGGGCATGCAATAAAATAAAGGCTGTGGCTGTTGTTTTTTTTATTTTTTTCCCCACGACTGACAGTTTTTCAAAATGTCTGGTAATGTTCCAATTTCTTGAATGAGGTCTGTCTTGACCCATTCTAAAATACCTGCATGGTAATTCTTTCCCTGGAAAGGCCATAAACAACTGGAGCTTACTTTAAAAAAAAAATAAATAAACTGGATGTGAAGACTGCCTGAGTTATAGTTGCATGATTATGCAGAAAAGAAGCCTGTTTTGAGCACTCTTAGGTGCAGTTATTTTTTTACTGCAACAGACTTACTACACTAGCGATTTGTCTGACAATTTTTTCTTTGAATGCTGACAGTTTTTCGTTCTGACAAGCTGCCAGCCCTGCTCCCCTATATAATTTTGAGAATGAACTGATAATCACTATGCATTTATGCTTTCACCTATGTATATCTGATCTTGTGAGCAACTCTGATCCCAAGAGAAACTTTGCAGTATTTCCAATCTGTTGAAATTCTTAACTCCAAAAAAAATATGAAGCAGCAGGAGAGAATTTTTCGCCCCAAGGAGTACAAGGGATGATCAATAGTTTGGTTATAATTCTTCATTTTCCAATACAAAAGCTATGAAGTTGGTTATCTTCACATCTCGTCGATGTACCCGCATCAGCCACTTACTATCACATGCACTGGACTTTGATGTAAGCAGCAAATGGTAATGGTACCATGGTAAGTACTCTGAAAGCAAGGCTTGCTCTAAAAGAGCTCATTCAGGACTGGGTGTCAATTTGAAGCCGAGAAGTATACCTCGGTCTGGATGTTTTGATTGCTTTATTAGTGGTACAGGGGAAGTATGTTGATGAGATGTGAATGTACAATGTGTGTACCTTTATTTTACTACATGAAAAATAATAGCCAGAACTAACTGATCACCCCTTAGCGTTTTGCACCTAAAAAAGGACCCATTGATTGGAAACTTTAATTTTTTTCTATGTTCCACTTGAAAGGGGAAATTATTGGGATGGCTTCCAGGATCCTTCGGCAGACAGCCAGGAGTCCCTAGAAAAACATTTTGTGCATCAGTCACAGAGCAATAAACTTGTTGAGCTTTTGTCTTGCTCTTGCAGCCAGTGCTCAAACTTTGATTCAGAACGACAGTTTAGTTCTAGTTTCTGTTTAGACTCCTCACGAAGAAGTTCCAGTTGGGACCGAACTACTTCACTATGACTGGGCTGCAGCTTTGAAATCAGCCTTTTTCTTGCACAATGAAACTAAACAAAGAACCAGGAAGGCTAGGATGGGCATGAAGGGAATTTATTCATTGACTTTTTTTCACTCCTGACTGTCTTGCCAGAATGTTTTTATCTGTTTAAATTTCTAAATATGAAAGATGGTGTTTTTGGGTGATCCGTGTCCTTTGTCTCCCGAGATTTCTTATCGTGCCTGCGTTCCTCGATATCTTTCTCTCATGTGATATCTTTTGTCTTCACTTCGACATTCGAGAATGTCGGCCGAGGATGAGCCGTTTTCATTGCCCTCTGTGGTTTGAATTTGATGTGTCTTGCCGCTTCCAAACAAGAGAAACGATCTGGAATCCAAAGTTCAATCGTTATTTCGACTCCCATGA